ATATTAGTTGACGTCATTACTTGAGCATTCACTCTCAATGATTGATAATTATCTTCTCTGTTCATTTTTGAAAGATCTAGCTCTTGATAAGTTGTATCAACCTGAGTGTAAGCCAGATTTAACGCACCAGCTATTTCGTGGGCTAATATTCAGCTACGTCCATCGGTCATCGAATAAAGATACTTGTAAGATACGTTCATGCACATTAATGCAGGTTATATGAAATATTTCAAATCTTTCATATATATATATATATATATATATATATATATATATATATATATATATATATATATATATATATATATATATATATATATATATATATATATATATATATATAACCTTGCATATATTAATGTGCATGAACGTATCTTACAAGATATACAATTGACATGAATGACAACATGCTGCAAAAGTTTCGCTACTTTGATTGCGCAAACGAATGTGATTCTTGAACAAATTTCATTCAATCTAAACGATGATCTTAAGTCACAATCACTCCAGAGAAGACATTGTAGACTCATGGAGTGCTTGGGATTACATTTATTAACTTAATTAAACAAGAGGTATAAATTAAATATACCTGCGGGGTTGGTATAATTATGTCAACTCTAATAGATATACGCCTTCATATTGGAATAACAATAATCTATTATAACAAATATCAGACAGCTACACACCTCCTGAAAGTAGTATTCCTTTAAAATTGGCCACCAATGCTATACTGTTGTTTGGATGGTGTAAAGTTCTTCTTCAATCTTCCGGTTTCGATACGAATTGAAGCTTGATATGCAAATATGTGACACTATACTGTATATAGTGAATTCATTAATTTCATTCGAATAATTCGGTTGGTATTCCTGTAAAATTGGGCATCAAACGCTGTAGCTTATATTTGGCGTGTTGTTTGTAACACCAGGGTTAAGGAAAGGGTTGTGATTGGTACAAAGATCAAGGAGTAATTTATTCCGGAGCGCGAAACATCAGGATGCAACCAAAAGTTCTTCCGGTTTCGATGCTGATATTGAAGCTTAATATGCAAGTAAGACATAATGCCGCCTGTGGATAAATTCCTGAAATCTATTTATTTAAGCTCATACCTCCCGCGAGGAAGGTGCGTTTTCATTTGCTTGTGCGCATATTTGTGTGTGCTTGTGTCGTGTGGTCGAAACTGAATAACTCAAAAACTATTACACAGTTGGTTCCGAAAATGTGTGTAACCATAATGCACACCACCAAATTTTGGTTGAATTTGGATGTGAAATTGGATGAAAAATTTAGAAAAGTTGTTTTGGTTTTCTTGACTGAAAGCGACTGAATTCGTAATAATACACGTTTTGAGTACCCCTAGTTTTACTATAAATTGTCTTTGACAAAAAAAAGATCAAGACCATGATTTCCTGTCGGCAAAACAATTGGAACTTCTTTCATAAAGGATGTTTCTGAAGCTGCATGGTTTCCGTCTTGTATAAGAGTCGGGGTTCGTTGCTATGTTGCGCAATTGATAGTTTCTCTTTGGAATTGTTTGGTTAAAGAGTGCATGTCTAAAAAACAAAGACCTAGACGTCTAAGACCTTAGGAAAAGGCGGGAATATTTGGGAGAAACTGGGATTTTGACCGGAAATTTTTAATCGCATTTGGACATTTTTGTTGGAAAGATACAAAAGGTTATACAAATCTGGTCTTTATTGATATGAAAAAATCCTTAGTATTACCATTTTTGACACCATAACTGTAGTCTACAAACATTGTTAATATAAGTAATAAGTTGATCAATGCCAAGAAAAGCTTTGAACCTTTTTCATTTATTAATACTGTATTCCACATTCGATCGTTACTTTAATAAATTGTACTTTACACCGAAACTTTATTAATAAAAAGGAATGATTTACTGCTGGATGAATATTAATCTGGATGAATATTGTATTCAAGAACAGAATTAAAATTATCAAATTACCCATCTGACATGCAACTGTAAATTCGTCAGAATTCTTTTGTTTTTGTGATTAATCGGAATGTACCAATGGGATACAACCAATACTACCTGTGAGATATTTGCCCAAAGTAAAAAGAAAGTACCAGTTTATTCTTTGAATGAACAAGATAATTGCAAACCTGTTATCCAGTTATCATGCGACAATATACGCAATTACATACTCTAGACCATCCATAAGAACAGTTGGCTAAAAATTTCCTCGATCGACCGACTCGTTAAATTTTTTCAAACTGTATAGCAATGAGCCAATATCTTTCAAGATGAAACAGACGCACTGTGCACTTTAAAAATCAATATACAGTCCCTAGCTCTAGCCCTATAATCACGGCCATCAATGAAAACCTCAAGAAAACAAAATATAGACTAAAACTCTATACCCGCATCTGGCCTCGGATATCCACTTTTAATCTATACATAATATCATTGCAGGTTCAACTCAAGTTAGGGATTGGTAGTTATCCTCCACATCTCTGATTCTGTTTAACTCAGTATAAGTTGACTCCTGGTCATTACTTGCAGCATTCACTCTCAACGATTGATAATTATCTTCTGTGTTCATTTTTGAAAGATCAAGCTCTTGATAAGTTGTATCAACTTCAGTTGTCTTTGGTTCAGGGTTTGATTGAGGTTTCCTGCTTCTAACTTTACGACGAGAACATAAGACACTGTAGCAAAGAAGAATTCCAATAATAATTCCAGACATCAATATTCCTACAACCATATACCATACAGTTCCACTGCAATTACATTCTTCTGAAGCTGCTTTTCCTGAAAATTGAAAAGGAGCCAGTCACAGATATGGGCTTACAAGTTTTGTAAACAATTTGTTTCTATATGTACTGTGCTGGCTGTCTCAAAAAGTTAAAAAGAAAACAAACATTATACTTTCTGAACCATGTTGGGAAAAGAAAGCCACCTTACCTGCTCCGAAATCCTTTGTAGTTGGAGTATTCGTTGTTCGTGTTACTGGAAGTGAAATCAAATTGTTAACTAAATGTTAAGAGTCTTATCTATTTGCCTAGTTACATTTTCAGCTTCATGGACTAGAGTATATTACTTTTTAAAAGGTAATTCAATCATAGAAAGGATTGTATTTGTCATAGTTACCTCCAGCAGACAAAATAAATGCCTTTGAACTATTTCCAAGTACGTTTGTTGCAATACATTTATATGATCCAGCATGACTGAATTCCAAAACTGTTATTATATATGTCTTGCGGGTACTGACGACTTCAGTATCGTTATGGATTATAGTATAACTTGGTAAAGGCACAGCTATAGCTTCACACGTTATCACAACTGATTCACCAAATACTACATTTTCTGGAGTCGACGTAAGGCTTATCACTGTAGGTGGAACCGCGTCTATAAAGACACAAACTCTTTATCCTAAACAATAAAATTTTTATTTCCGCTGATGAAGATCTGAGCTTACTGAAAGAAAGCTTTGCATGCCTTTATTTAATGTGAACATTTAGACAATTTAGACAACCAAATTGTTTAGGCTTTCAGCCAATATATGCATGTAGCCAAAGGATTTCAGTGCTGATATATTGGTATTGTTAAGCTAAGGTGCATACTCCTATCATTTGAAAAATATTCTAACAAGAATTTTGAAAAACCGATGTTAATTAATGAAAAAAATGACATGTGTTGCTCTTTGAAGTTTCGTTAATATGAAGTTACTATCATGCATGCAATTATCTACTTACAATAAACAATGATTTCAATTGATTTTTCATCCGTTAAAGTGTGGCTGTTGGCTACACATTTATATGTTCCACTGGCCGTTTTATCAATGTTACCGAAAGTTAATGTTTGTTCTTCTCTTCCTGTTCCACCAATTTTGTTTCCACCTTTGTACCATGTAACGTCTGCAGAAGGATTTCCACCTTCACCTCTACATTGACACTTGACGTCATCACCTTCATTTACTACGATGGGTGTGGAACAATTGACTGTCACAGTTGGTTTCTCTGAAATGCAATGAAACCAGATAAGAGCTTATTTCCGAAAGTCACTTTGTAGGGCGGGGGTATCCTCCTCCGCAGGCCTCTTTATGGGTTTTAACCTGCAAATGGGTTTTGAAAAAAAAATTTCTGGCAACTTTTTTCGACCACCCGATTCCTCGGATGAGATGCCTGCGGAGGAGGCTAGGGCGAGTGCATGTGCAGCTCAATATAATAGTAAACATTTCCACTGCAGATGTTGCCTTAGTGTCTTATTCACTTTGTATTCAACATTAGGGGAAATGCAGGTCTACCATATAGGGACATGACCACCTGCATTTCCCCTAATGTTTAATAATAACAAGGAATTAGGAAAACTGAAATAAAGTATGATATAGTCATACGTACCAAAAATGCACGACAACGCTGCAAATTTGCTTAGATGACACAATTTAAATAACACTAAGCATTTGTAAACCTCATTTACTTGGTCGTGCAAGGCCTAGATTTCATGCATGCATTAAATCATTATACCGCATGAATGTTAAGAAAACTTGAGTTTTTTCTTATCAAAACTTACTTGCAATAAATACGACAACATAAGAATAACCACCGCTATATGCTGCAAGGGAAAACTGGTATATCCCATTATACGTTTGATTAACATTTTTTAAAATCAAGGTTGCTGGCTTTACTATTGTAACCCCAGATAAGCCACTTTCAAATATTCTAGGCTCCTCATCATCAATTATTCTTGCAAGTCGTTTTGCATTGAATGAACCATCAGTACTTGTGAAACGCCAAACCCGATCGTCCACAACTGATATCGGATTTTTAAATGACCATGTTATATTCGCAGTTGATCCAGGTAGAAAAGTCAAACTGGTTCCATCAGGTGGTGATGTAATTTGTCCTAAACCACAAAACTAAACGTTTTCAATATTTTTCAACAGCTGAAAACAATCAAACTGATAGTGATATACGTGTGCATGAGTTAATCAGTGTTTTCACAACTTATTTCTGTTGGGGTATTTCACAGAATAAGTTATATTTAATCATGGAGTGTTTATAAGACTTATAATATTTAATGAGTGAGTGAAATATAAGAAGTTAAAATATAATTCTTAAAAAAATGAGAATATCAGGCAATACCTTGACACACACTGAGCCCAAATAAAATGAGAAAAACATGACCAATCATCTTATTGAAGTTAAACCTGGATAAAAAACAATTAACTTAAGAAATGCTGCTTTAATTTCCCTTTGGCTTTGGGACAACATATGCTAACAAAAGCCATCTGAATAAGAAAATTGCCTAGCAAGGGGAATAAATTGAAAATTTTGTGATTTTTATACTGATATCATGTAAACATGTTGACAATTTCAATTTTCCTTCCAGTTTGACTTCGTCCCGATTTCATGTAAATGGGGCCTAAGAGCAGAACAATCCTTCCTTTGTGTTATCTATATTGTGCTATCATAGTAAATAGCTGTATTTCTATTTAATATTCAGACAACCCATGCAGGTAGACTGTTCCTAAATTCCCTGAATATATTGAGGATAGATGTTTGAGTCCCTCATACTAAAATATTGTTTATATGCCTCTGAGAGTTTCCAGGCTCACAATTTTATGCATAAAGAAACTGTTTAAGAGGCCACATCCATATTCATGTTGCCACAACAACATCGAATCGACATTATGCATGAGTGGGTGGGTTTTATGTGTTCAAACTTATCGCTGTTATCTTGTGGCAATTTAACAATTAATGCCAATAAATTATCAATAATTGATGTTAAATTATTAATTGACATGTAATGAAATGAGAATATCAAGCAATACCTTGACACACACTGAGCCCAAATAAAATGAGAAAAACATGACCAATCATCTTGTTGAAGTTAAACCTGGATAAAAAACAATTAACTTAAGAAATGCTGCTTTAATTTCCCTTTGGCTTTGAAACACGAGATTTTTATTGCCCCATACAAAACGATCGCCTACGGGAAGGTTTTCCCCTGAATCTTCAGCTAGAGATTCACCTGCATGGTGTTATATAGTTCTATAGAGTATTTTATTGCTGCTATTTTTGCATTGACTAAACTCTAAAGAAGTAAATCTTAGACTAATCTTGATAGCAATTGTAATTGCAACAGTTAGTAGGTGTATTTATTATATGGCAAGCACTTGTTTTGATAAATCGCGCAATTTGATTGGCTGCTGTTGAGGCAGGATTTTCCCGTATATATATTACCCACGGGTAATACGCAATTTTTATTGCCCTTCGACGAGAGCCGAGTCTCAAACTGCAAAAAGTGTCTAAAAGTCTTTCAAAACTATTCAAAACGAAGAAAAATAAACCTAAACTAAAGAAAAGGAGCACTTCCTGTGGTTCAAGAACTTTCTCAATACGTAGTTTTGTTAGCGAAAGTTGAAATTACAAGGTAAATTTTACAATGTTTTATATAACTATTAAAACAGTCAGGAATAGCTGTGCCTTGACTATGTCAAGAGCTGCAAATTTTATTGCAGATAGCCAGTAGGAATTTGACACCATTCTAAATAAAAAATACAACCAAAGCACTATAAAGCAGCCACAGATTTGTAAATTTTCCCTGAAAATTTCTGTTTTTGTTCGATCAATAAGAGATATGTTTATGTGATGAAACGAACTAAAAACGTACTTGCGGTTGCCATTGAGTATTTTAATAAAACACAAAACAATAGACACTCCGAAAATTGTAAACATTTTAATTCTTTACGTTTCGACTATAATTTAAGTCATCTTCAGAAGATTCTTCTGAAGATGACTTAAATTATGGTCGAAACGTAAAGAATTAAAATGTTTACAATTTTCGGAGTGTCTATTGTTTTGTGTTTTATTAAAAACGTACTTGTCCATACTGTTTATTAATTTTATTGTTTTCATATTTGTTGTCTTTGATTAAATGACGAAATACCTCGTATTTTTCTTGAAATACTGGTGTTAGAATAGCACCTTCGTAGGTGTTAAAATGACACCTTGTGGTGGTATTAAATAAAAAGTGTTAATCTAACACCAATTTGGGTGCTGATTTAATACCATGAAGTTGGGAAGTGTTAAATTAGCACCATAGATATTTAACACTTTTCTAGGGTGTTAAAATAACACCCATTCTATTGAGTGAAAGTGTTAAAGTAGAACCGTTTTGAGAGTTAAACTTAGGGTGTCAAAATAGCACCTCGTGAACCGGTTTTCAGATTCAAAGTGGCGGACCACGTAGGAGCGGTTTACGTTTTTCAGACAACTAAATGGGGCAAATGATCATAGTTTTTAAACATATTATCGCCTTTAATGTAATCCTTGTAAGGGCCCCATTGAAAACTCCTTGGAGTCTTGGAGATATGGGCTCCCTGCCTAAATATTATAATAAAAAATAATCGAAGCAATCTGTCATTTTGGTGTTGGTGATGTCAGGAAAGTGTGCAGTGATAAACAGTAAAAATATGCAGTGAAAAGAAATTGTGTGGTGATAACAAAATATGTTCATCCAAGGGAGATGTCTTTGTCAAAAAAACCTTAGAAATGCAGGTTTATTTGCACTGGATTGCCTCACATGATTGAGATCAGTGCCTTCAGAATGGCCTCCCAGAAGGCTTAGCGAGCACATTGCGAGAGCGTCGTTTGGAAATTTTAATTTAACGTCGGTTGATAAAGCCAAGATTTCTTAAATTATAGTAGAAAATAAGAAGAAATACTTCATTGTTTGAAGATTCAGACATTAATTTTAAATGTAAGTGTTCAACTATGTCAATATTTTTAAGTTTTGTGTGTAAATATGTGCCATAAATGGTAATATATTCATGTGTATTTTAACCGCCATTGCCGTTGGCCGCATTGTATTTTGTATTTGGTTCAACAATATATTGTTATTAAAATACATTAAAAAATAGTGATATTGCTTTGTATTGACAGGTTATAATTTCAAGCAATAAGTACTGTCATAATATGTGTTCGAAGCAGGTCGAATTGTCGAAATCATGATATATACAGGCTACAAGAAGGTATGAAATATATACAATTATACATTAGATAGCACAAAGGAAGGATTGTTCGCTCATACAAAGCCATGGAACTTGCTTTGGCGATTAGATAAATATTAGCTAAATGAGTTAATATTGATACCCTTTCAATAGTGATCAATACATTGTTGACTCAATAGCTATTAATATTGATATAATCTCCAAAGCAAGTTCTATGGCTTTGTATTAGGCCCTGTTTACATGAAACCACAACAAAGTCAAACCGGGACCATTTTGTTTCTCTCATAGTATGATCTATAATAGATGTTTACAAGAGACCGGGATGAAAATAACTCGACAGACCAGTCTCAAGTCAATAATTCTGCCTGCTGGATCAAGCCGATTGACTTTAGACGGCATGAATTCAGACTGGGATGAATGTAAACACAAATATATTTCAGACCGGTCTTGGCTGTAACCTTGACATTGGGACAACATATGCTAACAAAAGCCATCTGAACAAGAAAATTGCCTAGCAAGGGGAATAAATTGAAAATTTTGTGATTTTTATACTGATCTCATGTAAACATGTTAACAATTTCAATTTTCCTTCCAGTTTGACTTCGTCCCGGTTTCATGTAAATGGGGCCTAAGAGCAGAACAATCCTTCCTTTGTGTTATCTATATTATGCTATCATAGTAAATAGCTGTATTTCTATTTAATATTCAGACAACCCAGGTAGACTGTTCCTAAATTCCCTGAATATATTGAGAATACATGTTTGAGTCCCTCATACTAAAATATTGTTTATATGCCTCTGAGAGTTTCCAGGCTCACAATTTTATGCATAAAGAAACTGTTTAAGAGGCCACATCCATATTCATGTTGCCACAACAACATCGAATCGACATTATGAGTGGGTGGGTTTTATGTGTTCAAACTTATCGCTGTTATCTTGTGGCAATTTGACAATTAATGCCAATAAATTATCAATAATTGGTGTTAAATTATTAATTGACAATAAATTTATTACAGTATCTACAAATAAACTTGGAATGTAAAATAATACCAATTTTTATTTTGTAGCCGACTCACCACAAAAAATTACAAATTGAGTTGCATTATGCCCTGATATGCCCTACTTTATTATTTAACTTTATTTAATGCCAGACTATTTAACTGGTGCTTAATGGGTTAACTGTCATATCTGCCCATGTTCCTAGTTACCCCCATCATGTCAACTATGCCACATTGCACCCTACTTTATTATTTTACTTTGCCTAACGCCAGATGATTGTACTTGTCAAGGGGAGAGGGCTCCCGCTTAATGGGTTAGAGTACCATTTAACAGCAAAGATTCTATTGGTTACAAATTACCTTTACCGGTAACATAAACTTTCATTTGGATTTTGACTGATATAAACTGTATTGAAATGATTCAACTGAATCAAAGTACCGTGTGTAATTGTGAAGTATTTTCAAAAGTAGGTTGTTTAATTACTGATTGAAAAATAAGAAAATCATTTAAAGAAATTCTTATTTTTCAGGTAGTTAAACAATCTACTGTTTGCAACTGTAGTTAGTGAATAGTCTACTTTGCTGTATGATTGATTACAGTGATTACAGGTTTTGAAGAAACAATTGTTGAATTAGTATCTGTGCATTTATATTATGGACATGGATTAAACAATTAACATAGATTAAGATACTTAATTGAAAGAACTTAATCTATATGTGTATGTATACTGTACAGAAATTTATTCTATGTTTAAATCTTTTTGTGTAGGGGATGCTCAACCCCCTTTATCAGGATCTCAACCCCTTGTCTATTGGCTACTGGACCTCTGGAAGAGATAAGTTTGATTTCATTGATTGCAGAGGGAATGTTTGTGAAAAAATTCAAATTGTGCAATATAGCCAACAACCCGCAGTTTATGATAATGCACAATTTATGATAATGATGATATTATATCATTAATGTAATGCATGTATTGTACATGCAGGATATACCGTAAATCTCCAAATATAAGCCCCCCCCATGTATAAGTCCCCCCCCCCGTATAAGCCCACCACATGTACTAACGCTCACCTCATTCCAAATATAAGCCCCCCCTGAATATAAGCCCACCCAAATATAAATAAGCCCACTTGTTTATCACTATTACAACTATTTATCATTATTATTACTATGCTTGTTTAACACTTGTTTATCACTATTACTATACTTGTTTATTGCTATTAAACTAACACAAAAGATTGTCCATGTATACGCCCATCAAAAATCGCTTACGAAAGAATGTAAGCCCAGGGCTTATAGTTGGAAGTTTACGGTATTGTCCTTATCTTTAATGACTAGAGTGTAGTACGAGGAGAGTTATGGCGTCACAATCATGGTCTATTTCTGTGAATGTTTCTATATAGTGTAAACCTTAGGTGCAATTACTCTGAATTTACTATAAACTTCATATATGACATAGATAAGTAATGCTGTAAAGTATAATGTAAATAAATTTTTCAACAGATTATTTTATTAATTGTTTTGTGTGTATACATTTTTAATATTCGGTAATACTAAAATAACACTAAAATTGAGTGTTATTTTAACACTAAGGTTAGAGTGCTAAAACAACACTGAAAAGGGTGCTATTATGACACTAAAAATGCAGTTATTTTAACACCTTTGCAGGTGCTAATTTGACACCCTACAAAGTGGTGTTAAAATAGCACCCAAAAAGGTGTTATTTTGTACCTTTTTATTTGACACCATTTTTGGTGTTATTTTAACACCTTCAAATTAACAGTGTACATATATATAGATATAGATATATATAGATATATATAGATATAGATATATATAGAAATAGATATATATATATATAGATATATATATATATAGATATATATATATCTTGCTTGTCGGTGCTGACACGTATCTGAAGAGTGCTCAATGCAGGTAAGACTTTGCAGAGCAAAACTATTATTAGTGTAGACTAAGACATGATATCTGAAGATAATTTAATAAAACCTAAACCTATTTACGATAAAAGTTACTCGAGTTTCACGCACAAAGGCGATCATCAGACTAAAACTTTTAGTCTGATGATCGCCTTTGTGCGTGAAACTCGAGTAACTTTTATCGTAAATAGGTTTAGGTTTTATTAAATTATCTTCAGATATCATGTCTTATTCTACACTAATAATAGATATATAGATATATATAAATATATATATATATATATATAGATATATATATAGATATACCAGGTGGCCCAAAAAAAGTACTCCTGTTTGATTCGTAATAACTTCTAAACAAGTAAAGTTTTTAAAGAGAAATAACTTGCATTAAATAGAGGAAGGACTAACTTAGATTTTGATATATTACAGTTGTATTTAACTTAAAAATTCACGGATATATTAATGTTAAAAATGGGGAGCATATTTTGGAATGTGTCTAAAATTAGCGAAAATCGGCATATCAAATATTAACTCCAGCGTTTGTTTGCTTAATGACATATTAGGCTAACTTGTATTTCAGCGAATTATCGTTAAGGTTTGTAAGGGATATGGCGTAGATTTAGACATCTTACATGTAAGTCTTAGCTCATTGTTTCCTGAAATATGAACGTTCGAAATTATGCAAGTATTTAATATTAGGTCTTTGCAAACTTAAATGTACATGAAAGACTGACCATGGAAGGCAGGCGCTTAAATTTTTCGTATTCTTAAATAGCCTAATTTTTTATGTTTTTAATGGGTTCAAACAGACTGAGTAGATTATTTCTCGGTTAGAGCAGGATGAATATTCTTTATTGAAGGAAATAATATTGCTTTTTGCAAATACACATCACCGTATCAACGCTACTATTTTGTTACGTTTTGTTCCAAAAATGTTGCATGTCTCTGGGGAGTTGCTTAATTGTTATGTCTTATGGAGTTGTATGGTTTGATTGTGTTTCCATATAATTCTCAGTTTACTCCATGAACTTGCCAAGATTAAGAAACGGCAAAAGAGTTTGGGTGTTCTTAACAAGATTTCAGAACGTTGCAGAAGTTAGAAGAGCTTCACAATTCCGTTGTGACAGCATGCCCTAATTCAGAACTACGAACGATCCAATGACGATCCTTCGCGATGCAGTGGTCTCATGAAATAAGGAAACGTATTCGTGCTAGGAACACACGCGAATTTCGGACGAATGAATCTTGCTTGTATTTTGTAGATATAATAATACTTTGTTTCATAATAAACAATTTGTCAAGTGTCATTTATTTACTGGTAATAGTGCATGTTTCAGTCGGGCAAATCTTGATTAATATTTGATACGCCGATTTTTGCATATTTCAGACACATCCAGAAATATCCTCCCGAATTTAAAGATTAATATCTCCGTGAATTTTTAAGTGAAATACAACTGTAATATATCAAAGTCTAAGTTAGTCCTTCCTCTATTTGATGCAAGTTATTTCTCTTTAAAAGCTATACTTGTTTAGATGTTATTACGAATCAAACAGGAGTACTTTTTTTAATTGGGCCACCCGGTATATATATATATATATATATATATATATATATATATATATATATATATATATATATATATATATATATATATATATATATATATATATATATATATATATATATATATATATATATATATATATATATATGAGATTTTTTACAAACTCGCGTATTTGGCGCCCAAAACCAATCAGATTGCCGGAATCTGCCGGAATGCTGAGAAGGCGATAGAACAATGCTGGCAATATGGCGGCGGCGTGTCGAGGAGTGTGTAGTTTGAAAATGATGTAGTTTTTAACGCAAATGACAACTGGGTGGGGAGATTTTTCATAGATAATTAGTCAATTTAATCTTGAAGAAGTAAGGAGATGGATTTAACAAGATGAATTTATAATAAACAAAGAATTACAAGCGATGCAATGTTTAGTGGCCTTTGTTTTGACTGGGCTGTACGTCATAGAACCTTGGAAGGTATGGTTGAATATATACTGATTTTCTAGCCAATAACCTGCTTCTGATCAAACTACAAAATATTAAAAACAAACCTGACATACTCAACTTACAGCAAATCATATATTTAATTTAACAGACTGATTTATTTGGAAAGGTGATTAAATGCAGCATGTTTGGCTATAGCTTTAAAACTAAATGGAAATATTGAACTACAGTATATGTTCGGTTTTTTAAGATATATTTTCTTTAATTAAATACATCGATTTTAAAATCCAAACGCTAAATAGGTTTGAATTTATTTTTTACTGCTATTGCCAAATGTGACTTAAACTACACCATTCGTTCATTGGTAAAACATGATTTCAGCTGTTATAAATCAACCGGACCTCCTTCTGATCTAACTAAAATGTCTTTCACAATAGACCCTGGGTCTGATAATTTGCAAAAAGTATAATTTGATTCAAATTTGAGTGGTAGGTACAAGGTCGTTTTTTAACATTTTTAAAATCAACCAAAATTATAATATTCAGTGTTTATTTACTTGAACAGCCCAATATTTGTATTTTTTCTTGGAAAATTGTGTGAGATATCATGTTTAGTCATATGGAGATATCTCTTATTCCATTTTTCACTATCCATATTGATTTAAAATCTGTATGAACATTTTTATTCCCAAAATCCATCAAGTACTGGTACTGCACTATTTGGCCAGAATGGACTTTTAACAATCTACTCTTTAACATCACGTTTAACTGTTGAAAATTAGCCCAAAACTGTTTCTGATCAAACTAAATTCTCTTTAAGGATGAGGCCTGGGTATATTAGTTTGCAAAAAGTATAATTTGATTCAAATTTGAGTGGTAGGTCCAAGGTCGTCTTTTTTACTTTTTTAAAATCAACCAAAATTACAATATTCACAGTGTTTATTTACTTGAACAGCCCAATATTTGTATTTTTTCTTGGAAAATTGTGTGAGTTATCATGTTTAGTCATATGGACATATCGCTTATTCCATTTTTCACTATCCATATTGATTTAAAATCTGTATGAACATTTTTATTCCCAAAATCCATCAAGTACTGGTACTGTACTATTTGGCAGAAATGGACTTTTAACAGTCTACTCCTTAACATCAAGTTTAACTGTTGAAAATTAGCTCAAACCTGTTTCTGATCAAACTAAATTCTCTTTAAGGATGAGGCCTGGGTATATTAGTTTGCAAAAAGTATAATTTGATTCAAATTTGAGTGGTAGGTCCAAGGTCGTTTTTTGACATTTTTAAAATCGACCAAAATTACAATATTCACAGTGTTTATTTACTTGAAAAGCCCAATATTTGTATTTTTTCTTGGAAAATTGTGTGAATATCATGTTTATAGTCATATGGACATATCGCTTATTCCATTTTTCACTATCCATATTGATTTAAAATCTGTATGAACATTTTTATTCCCAAAATCCATCAAGTACTGGTACTGTACTATTTGGCAGAAATGGACTTTTAACAGTCTACTCCTTAACATCAAGTTTAACTGTTGAAAATTAGCCCAAAGCTGTTTCTGATCAAATTAATTTATCTTTAAGGATGAGGCCTGTTTGTATTAGTTTGCAAAAAGTATAATTTGACTCAAATTTGAGTGGTAGGTCCAAGGTCGTTTTTTGACATTTTTAAAATCAACCACAATATTAAAAAGTTCATATTAGGCTGCATGTTTTGAAGGATATGTGAATCTAATGTGCAGAGCTGGAAAGTGCTGCAGAACTGTTCCTGAACAAGCTAAATTGTCTCACATATGAAGGCTGGTGTATGTTAGTTTGCAAAAAAATATAATTTGCTTAAAATCCAAGTACATGGTCCAAGGTCGGTTCTTACCATTTCTAAAACCTATCTGCGAATACCCACAATTACTACCAAAATCAACTTATTCATAAAAAGGCTTGGTAATCGGGCCAGCCTGGTTAATGTATTTATATGGGAAAATTCTTGTCCTGGTAACCGAGATTTATTGTTTTTCAAGTAAGGTATTGTGCAGAGCTACATAGTGATGTCTCTTATTAGGCTAATTGTAGTGCTAACCATGCAAACCCAGCTTTCATATAAAAATCCTGCATGTCTGAACCTCTTTATTTAACTCATTCAGTGAATTTTTCTTATTAATTTCATTGAAAATAAACACATAGATAGGTCATATTGGAATTCTACCAGGCCAGGCATAAATTAGATCATGAATATACACAGTATATCATAATAAATTTGAAAAAATTTGCTAAGAAGATCTTTCTTGCAGGTTATCAAAGAAAACAAGAAATGAAACAGGATGAAAATGAATATTTATTAAATCACAGATTGTGATACAAATTTAATTATGATACAAATTTATATATTGGTTGGATATTACAAAAAGTTTATAGGATGTACAAAATACTCTACAATGTACAGACATCTGTCTTCATAATCATATCTTTAAGGTTGTAAAAGTAATAACCCAGAGATCTGTAATATTCCGAAGTTTCGTTGGAAAATGTTGGAAAATGCGGATAATATAGCCTTGCAAAGTTTGCCGTTTTTCAGTCATTTTGCATTACAAACGCGAAATTGATAATCAGATGATCAAACTGATTATCAATTTCCCATTTGTAATAGAAAATGACTGAAAAACGGTAAACTTCGCAAGGCTATATTATCCGCATTTTACAACATTTCGCAACGAAACTTCGGAATATTACTAATTTTGTGATGCTCTTTCAAGCTGTGATGAAATTTTTGTCGAGGCATATCTAGATCAAAATTTCACTTAAAAGAGGAAAGGTCTATTATCAAACTAAAAAGGTCTTTATGACCTTATAGGCAACTTTGTTTTCCAAAAGATTGATTGATCCCAAGGGTGGATTTTTATTTTTTTAAAGGAGAGGTGGAAAGATTTCTAGTGGGGGCAAGTGGCAAAATAGGTGGGGTGAATTTCTAGGGGGCTCACCCCCCTTGTGCCCATGCTTGAGCCTGTCTGGGGTCGGTCCACAGTGATGATGCATCCTGCCTCATCAGGTCAGGCCCTGCTTTATGACCAGTCCCAGTTTAGTAACCCTCGTACCACATCAAGTTATATGCACGAGGGAAAGTAGCTTGTTTCATCTATTATTTCCACTTGCAATTGTCACCTATATCCCCTATGAATTTGTAGTTTCCAATTACTTTAGTATATTGTATGACTGACATGGTATACCTGAAGCACTGCAACAGCTGCATGTGTACAAAACAGTATGAAGTATAAAAATACAGATATGCATGCTACGTGCACTTGCAGTGAAATGTTTTTTATAATATGGACATATGCAACAGTAACCAGAGAAAAAAAAACTGATTCGAAGTAAATTAATTATATTTACAAACGTTCAAATTCTTCCTTGAAAATTCAAAAATAGTGCTTTAAAATTTTGCATGTACCTAGTACCTGCTGTATATTAACGAGTTATGAACAGGTAGGCCATCATTCCAAAGAAGAAAGCAGTCACTTTCAATCAGTTTAATATTATAATAGCTTTAAATTATGCTCACTCCTGAGTCCGATACATGTGCATATTTACATAATAATAATTTAAATAACAGCTATTAAATACGATATTACACTTACCATATTATCTTTCTTTATATTTGACAATGTTTTGCCTCGTCAAACAGCCAAAAATCCAGTAAAATTCTGTTATTTTTTCTTCGCAAATTTTGAGAAGCTTTTAAAACCAAGATGGCGGCGCAGCATTTTTTCGCGAAGGCCTGGTCGCTAAGTTTTGAGCGCTTTTCCAAAAAAAATAAGCGACTTTGTAAAAAATCTCTTCATAAATAAATCACAAACTAAATGTTTTATATTACAACATTTATTCTACTAATCCAACGTTTCGGGGTATGCCCCTTCTTCAAGGATGAATATCAAAGTCGATGGCCTAATGTCATTTATATACTCCTGTTTATTACATCAATTATTCAAAATCTCTCACATTTAATCCCTTAGGTACAAACGTATCTAATTTATATACCTCAAATGCTTCCCTTTGTGTAGGCTTACCAATATTGGTTTTATCAATAATTATAACCCTAACATCGTCCAAACCTTTATGTCCAGGGCCAAAAAATGTGCGTATAAATGCTCCGCAGCCATTTTTCTGCCCCCTTGTTCATACTTCCTCATAGAGCTCTTATGATTATT